GTAGAATATATATATATAAGGTGAAGTAATTAATGTGAGGTATAAGATAGGCAAAACACTTTAAAAAAATAACAGATTTGGGTATTAACATAAGTAAACACAGGTATATATTAAATAAGCTATTATTTAATATATATTTGCTATGTGTTAAGTCCTATTGATACTAAGAGATACAGATGCAAAGACAGAACAAATGAATGTAAGTGGCAGTATAAAATGGTTGTATTTTACGTACCATTGTCATCACATGATTCAGACTGAAAGGAGCTGAGAGACTGCACCTCAGACATGCTTTCTCTAGCACTGTAAGGATTGGAGTTCTTTTCATCCAGAGGCTTTTTGGAAAGGCAGGGGTCAAGATCTACTACTTTAGCTGGAAAAAAAAGTTTCAAGTGAGATGATTAATAGATTCTAGATTAAAGAGTCAATAAAATTTGAGGCTGAGATCTACATTTTTACAAAACTTAGTAAAAGTATGAAGCCTGATCAGACTCAAAACCCAGTAAAGTCATAATGCCTTTTGTACCCTAACAGGCATAGACGGAGACTGCACTCATATTAAAATTGTACCAGCAAACACCTTTAACAGAAAAGTAATAAAATAAGAACATTTCTTACTGTCATAGTCAAAATCCCAGCTGGGTTTCTGTATTGAATCGCTATCTGAAGGAGAGTTGGAGGGAGGTGGAGGTGGCAAATTTGGTGCTACACTGCAAACAGCTACAGCTTTCCGGTGACCATGTACAGAATCTGGGTTAAAAGTACTAAACTCTGGGTGCTCAGGAATAGCAGACCCCTCAAAAGAATTCCTGTCAAGATTGTTCCTGGAGTCACTTGGAATGCTTGGAGTGTATGAAATGGGACGAACAGGAACCTGTGGTGGGATGTCAGAATAGATGTTCTTATTCAATTTTGCATCAAAATAAGGTCTTTGCAAGAAAGCTGTTGTAGCTCCCAGCTGCTTGTCTTCAGGTTCTGGCTGGTGCTTCTTCTTTCTACTAATCACTTTGCGGCAAACAACAAAAATCACAACTAACAAGAATATTCCTGCGATGAAAACAATAATCCCAATCACTTCAGCTAAGCTAATGTTCCAAGATGTCGAAACATATTTGTTAAGAACAATGTCTGTGCAGTGTTTTCCTCCAAATCCACGGCTACAATTGCAGTGATATGAACCGTAAGTATTCTCACAAAGGGCACCATTAAGACACGGGTTTTCTACGCATTCATCGACATCAGTCAGGCACCTGCCAGAAAAAGCAGAGAAACAATGGTCAGTTTACATTAGTAGTCTTTGTTGTAGTCTCCTTGTTCTTGACAATTCTAGGTATATTTAACATACAGTACTGTACGCTACCAGGCAATTTGCTATTTTATCACCACTCCAGATTTCAAACAGTTTGAACTGTTAGCTGTCAAGTAATACTGTTAAAAATTCAATATATGTGGAACACTACCTACCTTTCTCCACGAAAGCCTGCTTCACACTCACAAACAGGTCCATCCAAACTGTCAATGCACTTGCCACTGTTCTTACAAGGGTTGTCTTTGCAATATGGACCCAGCTGGCACCTGCAAAGGAAAAAAAAAAAGTGTGTGGGGGGGAAACACCCCATGAATTAACCATTAAGTGAGTATATAGTGTGGGATTCGGGGCTGTAACATAGGGGCTAGCATTAACTTCAGCTAACTCCACTGTGTTTCAAAGCCTGAGCTTTAATTAGGAAGCAGATAAAAACCAGAAAAAGTGTTACATTTCTAGCCTATTCTCCAAGGGGTTCACTGGTACAATAAACCATACAAACATACCTTTGGCCCGTGTACTGTCCTCGGCATTGGCAGATAAAATCGTCACTGACTGGGATGCAAGTCCCACCATAAAGGCAGGGGTTGGAAGCACATGGGTTGACACTGACATCACAGTGAGTTCCCATAAACAAAGGTGCACACTTGCAGTAGTAACCTGAAATCAAATACAGTCTTGTTGAAAGACGCACATGGCTTTTCTGGATTTAAGATAAAATCCTCCCTGCCCACCTACCTGTTCAAAGAGAGAAAGGATGGGAAGAAACAGAAGTATTTTTATCGAAAGATGAAGGAAAGTCTAACAGTAAGATTTTTCTTAAATATGCTGAAGGGTAACTTTCATTTCTCTCAAAACACAAGCTTGTCACAGTGATTTCAGAATTTTTAAAGGAAGACTCTAAAGTAGGCAGTTAAGGGGACAGACCTCAGGTGTTGACACTGAAGATTAAATACCCACTTTGTCTGATTGGCTTTGTCTTCTTCACACCCCAAGAAATTGAATCTAGAACACAGATAGACACAGCCTTCCTACCTGCTCAACAACCAGCCTTCTACAACTCTCTGGGAAAGCAAGGATTATTCACAAAGTTGCTTTGTCCTTCAAAACAGGGACATGGAAAAGCAGTTCTGAAAACTAACAGCACCAAAATGTAGTACAGCTTACCTCCATTTGACAGTGCATTGCAGATGCCTCCATTCTGACATGGGCTGCTTGAACAACCTTCTGTGGTAGTCAGTAAGCATCCAGGAGTCACATCTACAGATTCTTCCATGTGTGGGTAATTTCGTGGTTTACTGTTTAGGGGCAGCTCTTGTCCATTAAGTACAACAGAATCCATACAGCCTCTGAAACCATTGCTAACCTGAGGACTTCTACCATGTCTTATACCTTGCTGACGAATATGACCACCAAAAAAGACATGATTATCTAGGTTTAGTGTTCTAAGTGTACCAGGAGCAGTACCAGATGCAGTATGCACCCTATCCAGAACAAGTCGTGCATAATTTCCATCCACTTCAAGAGATACTGAATGCCACTGGCCATCGTTAATCTGAATGCTCTGAACGGAGACAATCCCAGGTCCACTGCCACAATCAAATTTATATTGCAGCCTTCCATGGTGAATCTACAGAGGAAATCCACAACATCAACAAATGGTCTGCACGCTTAAAGAGTATAAAATATTGATGCCTATAAAAGTTTATGTTTGCTAGAGAGACAGGATGATGGTGGCGTTCATAAAAGGCAGTTTAATAACATTATATTTCAAACAGTTGCAGTGACTGTGATTCATTCTATATGGCTCTTTTAATTAAAAATATATACTTTCTGTATTTGTTCCTCTAGTAAAGAAGTCACAGATCATCATCAAACGATTACAGTACTTCAAGACCTTTCATCTTGTGCTTTAAGTGGCTTTTTCTGTATGGACTTAATGAGTATTATAAGCAAATAAATTTAAAATTGTTATTAAAAATAGGTAATTCAGGGGTTTGCTTTCTTTTATTTTTAAAACATTCAAGAAAACAAATTCCTTTTAAACATGATAAAAATTTTGTACAAGTTTGTCACCTCCATGTATAACACACTACCTCAAAGGCAATTCTCAATTATAACAATTCTACAGAGAAGTTATAATTCAATCTTTTAATTTGACAAAAAAAAAAAAAAATAGTAAGGAGATGGTAAGAAGAAAAGAGGAGTAAATACACACTAGGAGATTTTAATATACCTCTAAGATACTGTAGTCTGTTCCTCGAGCATACATAACCACTGCATGAGCGGAGTAAGTTTTAAGTCTCATTGTCAGCTTCATTTCCTCTTTGTTCTCATTTTCCATGAGACGGTATTTCACATAGCTGCTCCCAGTAAATGTCACAGCAGAGCTGGCTGATGCTTAGGAAAACAGAAAAGCATAAAAGTGTTGATTCCACAGGACTAGAATCAAATTTGTATTTGGAAAGTAATACAGTTTTATGCAGAGATTTTTCAAGTTAATTTCTTACCAGGACACTGTCCAGCTTTGCTGTCTTGGCAAACACAGGTGTATTTTCCTTCTTTTGGATCTCCTAAACATTCGGTACCTTCAGGGCATGGGTTTTCTTCACACACACTATTCACTAGGGGACATTTCCCTTCTGTAAAATGAAGACATTATTTCTCTTCAGTTAGTGGTAATGGTATTTAATGAAAAAAGACACTTAAGTACAGTAGCTGAAAGCAACCCAAATGATATTCCTAACTATCAGACAAGGAAGTGAAGTAAGTTAAGGGATATGACTGGCAAAAACATAAGACCAGACAAATGGCATATATAGTGGCTGATGTTCATAGTTATCTTGATTACTCAAACAATTGGTATAATTTGGAAATTGGTGTTGTGGTTTAAGGGTTTACCATTACTATCATACACCGTAAAACACAACATGTATCTACATATTAAACATGGACAGAGTGGGTTGGGGAAAGCAGGAGCAGAGTGTCTGTATTTGAGACAGAAAAGGAATGGGCTTTAAATATTGAAGATGTACAAGTTCACCCAGCAACATCATGATTTAAAAAAGCAACGTTGTTTTCCTCAGAGTTAAAGAGAAATTAATCTTCTGTTACAAATCTGTCTACCTATGTGTATCTTAATGAATATTCACTCTGTCATTCCCAGGCAAGTTTGGAACCTGTGTGGGCTATTTCTCTAAGGAGAAACCAGGAAGTATTCAGGTACTTTGCAAGAATTTACCTTTGTGCACACAAGACTGAAAATGGCTGGCAATTTTGAACAGGCAACAAAAAAAAAAAGAAACTTTTTTCATAAAATGGAAAATGAAGGTGTTACTATAAAAACAAATCCCCTCCCATAAGCTTACATTATGTAAACTCTTAAAATGAGGTAATGTACAAGAAAGAATTACTCCTTCCTCTGAATAAAATTAGGCAAATGTTGCAGTGAGGGTTACAGGACATTCTTAATCATGTCCTTTAAATATAAATTCTCCCTTGTGGATTATGCCTGTTCAAAACCAGAACAATCTTTTCAATCTTTTCCTTACTGCTTTTCTTACCTTTACAAAGACAAACTGCTGTTCTGTGATGACGAGGAGTGACAAAACTCAACCTGGCTGTGCTGTGCGTTGACATGATGTTCTCATCCACTGTTACTTTTTCTTCACAAAATTTCAAAGGACAATCTAGGCCTGCACAAAGCTTATGGAAAACATCAATTATCCGAACCCCTAAAATCTCCTCTAGGTCAGGCACAGAAGAGTTTATCTTGTGGAGCAAAATTTTCATTGGGTGCTGAGAGCTACCAGACTTTTCAATATTCAGGAGGACATCAAGATTTGAAGGAGGATCAGAAGGCTGCAAACTAACAATCTGGATGTCATTCCTCCTCACACCCAAGATGTTTCTTAAAGCTCTCTGAAAATTGCGCCAGTAATCACCAATGAATTCTTCAGGGGCAAGGTTTGCAAAGCGTATTGCAATGCTGTGATTTAGCAAATCTTGTGTGATTTGTCTGATGTGTACAGTAATATCAGCTGCAGTTGTAAATTTTCCATCTGTAACAGTGACATTTAGGAGGTACTGTCCTACATCTAACCTTTTATGTGCTATTAGTTTGCCACCAGTACTAGAAACGGAGAACAAGGATTCCATTTTGGGGTCCAGACTGTATGTCAAAGTATCATAAACATCTTGATCGGTTGCATGAATTTTTCCAATGACACCACCTGAATATTCTTCCCCAAAGGCTGTGATAAAGATTTCTAGAGGTAGAATTGCTGGAGAATAAATGCTTTCCTCAATAACTCTAATATCAATGTAAGTCAAAGATGACAACGGTGGTTTTCCATTATCTGCCACCTAAAGGAAAATGAGGACAGAGTTAAGATTTTTGCTTTATCTCAAATTCTACTGTAGATATTTGTACTGTATACAGTTGTATTTTTCTACAAAAGAGAAGTTCCTACAGGAAAATGCTTTATGAAAATTTCATAGGTCATGAGATTAAAGTTAATACTGAAATTTTAAAAAAACTTATGTAAGCAAGAACACACAAATGTGTTTTCACTCCTTCCAAGATTAAAAGGCTACAGTGCTCTTAATACCTGGAAATGACAGGAAGCTACTAAGGCTTCTAGCAAATACAGGGGAAATGCACAGTAGCTGATTTCAGACAGTAGATGGTGCTTAAAGCTTTTTCATTTCAAGCATGGAAACACAAACTTGAAATGAGTCATGCGCTAGAAATTTACAACATGCTTCACCACAGTTATTAGTAGGTGGTCTTGAAGACAATTTAAATGAGTATGCCAAAATGTATTTCAAAAGGAAAACAATACATGTAGAAAGTTACAATTAATTATGTTGTCTTTCATGATCTGTGATCATGGAAAGGGGAAAAAAACCACCTGTAGTGCTGTTTGCATCAGACAATTAAAGTAATTATCTTTAACAGAATAAGCCTAATTCAATTTTAAAGCCTTTTTAAACATCACGTCCCCTGTCCTCCACCCCTTTTTGACAAAAGCATACGCTGTCATTGTATGAAGAGGGGACAAAAAAAAGAGTAGAAAAATGAGAAGACAGCATTCCCTGGGGTTCACTTTCTTTCTATTTCTGAGTACTTGTTTCCCCATCCACTCTTTTTCTCAGAGCTCTTTCCCAGTTACTGAAAGTGAGACTAAAGAAGAATTGGAGAGGTACAATGGGACAGAGGGGGTACGCAGGGATCAGAAAGTAGGAGATAACCTGCATGGTTTAAAAGATTTCACCATAATTTTACAGTGACTACAAATACTTGGTACACTTTGAAGATCTATGCAGAGAAGCTGCTTTTGATTTTTCATACAAATTTAAGCAGAAGAGGAAAAATCCAGGCATCATCTGTGGATGTGCACATAATTGTAGCATTTCTAAAAGGTAATGCATGTCTCGTAGAACTACATGCCTTTATCTGTTAACTCCAAAAGACAGGCATGGCTAGAAACTTGCCCTTTAGTTACCCAAACATAAATAACAAGAGAGCGAGCTCAAGTTGGCAAAGTTTTGTTTTGCCTAGATTTCTGCCTGGAAACAGGACAAGGCAGGCAGTTTCGCTACAGGAGAAATGCGCAAGGGAAACAATAAAGGGCTTAAAACAAACAGGCAAGCAAAATTGTAACAAATGGACAGCCAGTAGGAAAGAAGAGCCCCAGGAGAAATGATTTTTCAATAGTGCAGATATTTAAAAATCTGCTGTGGTTTTAAACTAAAGACTTCAGAGTGTGGCACAAAGGACTGTATGACTCATAGCTGAAGATTTCACACACTAATGCTGTGAGACATTTGTTAATGGATAATCTATTTCCTTTGGAGAGAGGGAAAGCAAATGTGAGTGGCATGCACGTGTAGGTGGCTGTTGGGAAAAAAAAATCCTTATTTCTACTAAAACCACAAAAGTAAAGTAAAAGAAAGGCTCATGTTAAGTAAAGTTTTTTGTGGTGGTAGTGAGTGTGTGGGGTGTCTATGGGTATGGGAGGGGTTGTTTGTGGGTTTGTTTGGGTGAGGGGTTTTTTTTTTGGTTGTTTTTTTTTCCAGTTAAAGTATACGTATAACATAAGAACACCTCTGCCTCAGCAATCCATTCAGAAAGCAACCAAGCTGAAAGCTGTCAATACTGAAAAGCACACAAGTGCAGGTCAGTTAAAAAACAAACAAACAAAAAAGTATCAAGAGATCGTACACAGCCATTAACTTGTGAGCTGCAAGACAAAAACACAGAAATTAAAGACAGTATAAACTTGAGAAGATGCCTTCCTACAGCCTTTGAAAAAATCTTTCTTTTAAATGAACAGGAGAAGAATATTTTTCCACAAAAGTCATGTATCTATTTTTGCGTGTATGACTGGAACTGAAGTCTTGTGATATGGAAATGCTAGCTTTAGTCTTAGATGCCTTCATACTCATGTATAGTGACTCACTAGGAGAGGATAATAGCAAATTATGGCACTGTGTCTATTTAAAAAAAGCTATCATAGTGTAAGATGACAAATGGCAAATAAAAGACAGTGACATTATTTCCAGAATGCAGGCAGAAAATTTGTAAATCAAGGGATTAGACAGGTCCAAAATACAGAGATTGGGTAGTACAGCACACAAAAAATGCATATTAGTATAAGTCTGCTTTAATGATTTACAATCTATGAGAAGTCTTTGATCTAAATAAGTACATTTGTTTTAAGATGCTTGTTTAGCTATTGGATGCCATTAAAATAGCCCTTATTCACTCCCTAGAAAAAAAGCACTTTTCAAGTGCTGTGCTAAAAAGAAAATAGCTGAAGTACTGACAGGCTGTTTACAAGGATCCTACACAGCCTAGGAAGTGGCTTGGAAATGAAAAGAATTGCATGATTCCACCCAGAGGAAGGTGTTAGATAGACGCCTCACACTTAAGAAAAGCCAGGCACATTAGGAAGGGCCAAAGGTGCAGCTAAATCATGAAATCTGACAAAGACAGTGTTAACAGTCTACATAGAACAGACATAACTGCCTGTGCATGCATTCATAGGAATATGTTTTAGAAGTGAAAGGAATAGCAATTAGTTACTGCTTAGAGAAAATATAAAATAAAACATATGAATCTTGTATTACACTGACTGCACGTACAGGAAAAACGTCACTGGTTCTTCTTCCCTGAACAAAAAGGTGACTTTGGGGAATCAGTATAGAACTTGGATAGGAAGCCTATTAGGCAAGTGTGAGAAAGCCAAGGTCTACTGCTGCTTTGGACTCAGGCAGCCCAGGAAGGCCAACAGAGCCATTGCTTAGGTATCCTGAAGGCTCATCTGTCCCATCACTAATTAGCAGATCACTATTGAGTTAAAAATGGCTAACAGAGGAATGATATACCTCCCTAACCCCTTTTTAATCTCAATTCTTAAACCCTAAACTAAACTACATTTAAATGGAACCTTTATCTATGTTGGTTTTTACACTGATGGCTCTTGATAACATGTGTTAGTGACGCTATCAGCAAAAGACAGTACCTTTGGGAATTTTTTTTCCTTCCTCAAAAAAAATAGATAGATTCTTTTAAATATGTCATGATTATTATCCCAATGTGGACCGAATTCAGTCTACACTGACGCAGACAGTGCTGCTCTAAAACTCCGCAAGTGCATGTTTACTTAGAAATTGTCTGAAATATTATGTACAAGAATAATTTGGAGGTTGAAAGAAATTCCTCATGTGAAAATAAAGGTAAGAATTTTTCTTAAAACGTGAATCTGAAAATGAAGTTTAAGAATTAAGGCCAGTTATTTTTAGCATACCAATTTTAAATCCCCTGGTTCACAGCTGCTTAATTTTATAACTGAATTAAAAAGGACTTAAAGATTTAAAAAATTGGTTTGAACTTTTCTTACATTAGGTTACAAAAAGGTATTTTAGAGAAATTAGCAATGTTAATGTAACCTTGAGTTCTGGACATGGTCTGGTCTTTTTGCCCAACAATGGCAAATACAGGCATATATGATAGCATTTCAGGGTCATTTTTTAGTTTTAAGCTGTTTTCCACTGCAACATTCCAAGATCTCTAAGTACTGCACTGCGAGTTTCAATGCTACAACAAAGGTCCACTGACCTGGTTTTACAGACTTAAAAAAAGGATTGCCATTGGAAAAAGAATGTGATGCTATAGAAAAAAATATTTCAGTACTGCCATGATGTGCAACTTGCAATGTCCCTGTTTGCAGTGTAACAGTGTAGTCCAGCTCATAGCTTTGAGGGTCAAAGGAATAGTGGCAAGAGGAAGTCTGCAGCCAACAGTAGGTGGTGGCTCAAGGGCCTTTTTCCCTGATGGATTTTCCAGCAACCCACATGAAAGGCAAAGGTCTTGTCAAGACCACTCTCCCAGTTAACATTTCACTTACAACTTACCTTTATTGTGAATTTAATTAAGCTTACTGTTACACCTGTGTGGATTTCCATTTAAACCAGACTTTGTCTCTGAACATGTTATCATAAGGGACATGCCTCAAAATGGCATGTCAGGATCTTGTAACAGAAAGACAAGTGGTAGGCAGGGAAAAAGTGGTGGATTGGGCATGAGTGGGAAAAGTTGACTAAATGCTTAAACCAATAATGCAAAACAGCGAGAGGTAGCGCATCCTACCTTAACATTAAGGAAATAGTGATCCCTCACTTTGCGATTCAGTGCAGCAGTTGTGGTCAGTACTCCCTGCTGGTTAATCTGAAAAGCGTTCTCTTCATTTCCACTCAGGATGGTGAAGAGAAAAGGAGGGCCATTGTGAGAAGAATCCTTGTCTGTCACCACTAGCTGTAGCACACTAAATCCAACAGGCTTATTTTCCTATAAATGCATAGTACAATTATATTGGTTTTGTTATAATTGAGGATATAGCCTGATGTTGATTTCTTTTTCACAACAGAAGAATAAAAAATATCAAATTACTGTCAAACCAGTTAATCAGTATAAGAGAAATCAGAATGACAATATTGTTTTAAGGAAAAATACTACCCTCTGAGAATAATGATGAAAACATTAAAAGAAGAAAGGCAGTACATTTTTAAACTTTGTCTTATATTTTTAAAAGTAGCTCAGCCTTGCTTGAAACTTTACATTTTTCACTTTTGGTCTGAATTAAAATTACTGTAGATTAATCACCAAGTCATCAAGATTTCAAATTTAGCTAAAACATCTGTTAATAACCTGATGCCTTTGTAGGGAGGATTACAAAAACACACTCCTCCATCTGACCCCTTGTGTCCCTAATTAGTGTTCTGACTACAGTTGTGGCTGCTACAGCCACTGTTTGGTTAAAATATGAAATCCAGGTATTAAAATTTGCTTCATAAAATCCATTCAAGTTTGCATCACGTGGATGCTTAAGGTTTCACAGACACTTCACACGCTTCAGTTTATCATGCATCTGATACAAACATACAACCTTATCTAATGCTTGTTAACACCTCTCCCAGAATATCTGTGCTACACTGTATTGACCAGTTTTATATATGCATCTTTTAAATGCAAAAGAAAGTAAAAGCATTATTGTGAAGTAGAATAACAAAATGTTATCCTTTCACAGTTGCAAAAACTCCTAATAACAAGCATACTCTTTGTTCTTGAGAGTAAGTCAAGTTAATTATCAGATATTGCAGCTAAAGCCTTTTCCCCTCCTTCATCAAAACAAAGATAATAATTTTAAAATATAAATATTTACACGTGGACATCTAAAGTAATTTGATTTTCAACATAGCTAAGCACATTTCCAACTGTGTCCAAATAAGTGCACCTCCAATATATCAGGAAATGCACACCAGCATTCTTGGGCAACTCCTCCAGCTTTTTTCTCTGCTACTCTCATACTGGGACAAGCTGATACAAATGAACTATAAAACACAAAGTCTTCCTTTATAATTGAGTAAGGGAAACATTATAGACATTGGCTATATAGTCTACAATTTTAGGGGATACATTAATTAACATTTACTTCAAGAAAGACTGTAACTGGGGAAAGCTAAACAGCTTGGATAGCACACAAACATACAAATCTATTGCTTTTTTTTTGTTTTGTTTTGTTTTGTTTTGTTTTTTAAAAAGAAAAAAGATCCAGGACATCCTACTCGCATACTCTGTATATGCTGGGTAGAGATGAATCACTTTGTCCTCTTTTGAAAAGCTACCTTTACAAATCATGTACACGGTCTCAAACAGAAGTGGTATGTTAGGATGGCACAGTGCACCAGATAACATTGTCTGATCCCCACTTATCTACTGTACAAGGCCAGGCACCAGCAACAGCAAAAGGACCCAAGGGATTGAGCTCACTTACATTACTAGTATAAAGGTCTTAATGCAATTCCTTTGTTCCCTTCCATTTATTCTCTATTGGAATCAAGAAGACAAGAAGTACATACACTGCCTCTGCTATCGTTGCTTTAGCAGAGAACTTACTGAATCAGGCAAGTACAAGGCAGCCATTTGAGAATCTGGCCCACTACTACCATCCTGAGGTGCAAAATTAGTCAAAGAATTGGTATGTAGCAATATGAAATACTACGCCTGTTTTAACTGCTTTTGATCCCAGAGAAGGCCAGTAGGAAATAAATCCTGAACTACATGCCACAGTGCACGACACTTGCTTCACAGTAATAGGCACCTAAAATTTCTTTTTCTAAGCAACTCTAAGATTAAAAAGAAATAACAAAATTATTATCTATTTTAACCTATTTGTATGATGCTAAGAATGTTATAAACATAAATGCAATGCATAATATACATACATACATGTACATACATGAAGTACATTAAAAAAGAACAAGCTCAACTTGCATCCTAAGTTTCTAAATATATAATATGAATTTTATAACCCTTAACACTTACTCAGGTAAGCAGTCTGACTGACATCCTTAAATAATTAAAAATACAGAAAATTAAAATTGAAGCATTAGGTTTATCATATCTTGCAGAATTTTTCAAAACACAAATTAACACTCTAATAGTATTACTGATTTGACTACTTCACTATCTGTATTTACCTGGATGATAACACTATAGTTTCCTTTTGAGAATACTGGAGGATTGTCATTTACATCAGAAACATCAATATTAACTGTGGTTGTGTTAAGTCTAGGTGGGTTTCCATTATCTGAAGCTTGAACCGTCAAGGTATATCCTGAAATCTAAGAAATAATAAAAAAAAAATCACACATTCACTAAGGAGCGAAAAGTAACAAACTCAGCTTTCCTTTTAAGTGCCACCCCCCAATAAAACTTGTCTTCATATATTTAATCCCTTTTCTTGCCCCCAGAGATTCCTCCCCATGCCAAAAAGCACAGACATAAATAAAACCATCAAAAACTTACCTTTTCTCTGTCTAGAAGTTTAGTTACTTTTATTTCACCCCTAGTAGGGTCAATTGTAAAAGGACTTCCCTGATTGCCATCTATAATTGCATAGTGAATGCAGTTGTTTGAAGGTCCATCAGCATCATCTGCCATAACCTAAGGGACACGACAAGTCTCACTTAAAATGGGTCAAAATAGACTCTATCATCTTTCAGATAAACTCATCCTGAAGATGAACACAGCTGTTTTGGTCTAACACATTTCATAGTTCTCAGGAGAAATGTCATCTGAATAGAACATACCAACATCACTTAATTTCTTGAATTTCTTTTGAAAATTAAGTCATGTTCTCATAAGGAGAACACAAATATACCACAAAATATCATCTATTTTCCCACAGCATCTCAAGTCCCGGGTTCTGAAACCTTTTCAAAATAAATTTTCAATTCACTCAGTGGAAAACTTATCCATTTATGTCCATCTTCAAATCAATATTTATTCCTTCAAGACTAAAAGCATGATTGTCACGACAGAGTATTTCAAAGGAAAAAAACACCAATACGTACTGTAATGACTGACTGTTCAAGCGTAGCATCTTCACTGATTACTGCAGTGTAAGTGTCTTGGCTAAACACTGGAGTATTGTCATTGATATCTGTTACATTAATATTCACTGTTACAACATCACTTAATGAAGGTGTGCCTCCATCTGTGGCCTCCACTGTCAAGTAGTACTCATGAGAACTTTCATAATCCAAGCTCGCAATGATAAAAATGGCTCCTAGGGAAGGAAAAAACAAACAAACAAACAAAAAACCCCTCACAGAAACTCTTCTATTACTGTAGTATTATATATTGCAACTTTTGATTTTGGTCTGACAAGTACTCAGCTTCTTCAGGGCTTGATTTGTCACTGCAAAGCCAGAGCTACACAGTGAAATGATTAGGCTTCACACATAAAAGTGAAGAGGTGAGAAGTTCCTGCCATTACTACAAAAGACTCACACTTCAGAACCTCACATTTTTTAATGAAAATAATGAAGAAAAATACAAAATGTGTTTAGAAAATGTCCTTTTCTTAATTTTCAACTGAAATTAACCAAAAATGTGAAATGACATTTTAACCTGACTTTCCTCGCCACCAGCATTAACGTCAGGCATGGAGTATGCGGAGGTAGCAACAGAAGTGTCTGACCATGAATTTTGATTGATAGAAATATCCGAGTTAAAGTGTTGAGTTTTAAACCAGCTAGTTAAGATAGCGCAGTCCCTAACACACACACACATTTGCTGCTGGAAGAGTGTTTTCCTGGAACCTTTTTTTTCCTTTCAAATAAAGTTAAACTGGCAAAGTATTTCTATACCATAGTACCAACATGCACACTGGAAAAAGCAGCTGGAAGAATATAATTTCATTTACACTGGTACAGTTAACTACTATTATCCTTTGGTTAAAAATCTTATTTAAAAACCCAAAATTTTACCAGAAATTAACTCTAGAAAAAGAACTATATAACAAAACAAAGCTAGAATTGAGATGTATATTGATTTTTACCGAAGAATTGTCATCAACGGGGAAAAATTCTCCACAAAACCTAAATGCTTCCTGAGACCAAATCTGACTAACATACAGCCGTAACATCTCCGCTGTCATGCTGGATATATGGCTGAACAGAATATTCCAACCTGCCTTTAATGCCATATCGAACTCCTCTAGAATTACTGTCTTTGTGGACCAATGACGAGTTTTCCCAATCTATTTAATTTCTGATCTTTCTTTTACAAAGTCTGTCCACTCATTCTGATCATACAGCTTTCGTGAAAAGACTATTATGCTTTTATCATTACAGAACTATGTCTTTCCACCCCCTTTGCCCCCAGTGTGGGGAATATTCCAGCTAGGAAATCCTTACTCTTGCTGGCTAAATGAGTCTAACCCAAATAACAATAAATAGCAGCAACAAATAAAGTTCCTGTTCTACGTTATGCCGCACTCTTCTTGTAAGCACGCTGGCAAATGGGTGAACAGACAGTAGCACTGGCTTTGCAGGCAGGATGATGCATATGGATTATACATAACCTATCTGGTTGAATTACTGTAGAACACAATATGATACTGTGCTTGGTTAGCCTAATGTATAGTTGTAATCTGTTACCTGTTGTTGAATCGATGCTGAATTTTCCATGTTCATTCCCACTGACTATTGAGTATGTGATTTCAGCATTGGCTTCAATGTCCCTGCTTGCAGCATAGATCTGGAGAACTTCAGTTCCAACCAAAATGTCCTCTGATACACTTGCACTATACTCCCTATGTTCAAATACAGGTGGGTTATCGTTTATATCCAAAACAGAAACTATAAGACCACTTGTTGAAGACAGTCTTCTCGGTAAACCTTCATCTGTAGCCTTCAAAGTTAGAGTGTACACAGCTTGTAATTCCCGATCCAAAGGTTTCTCCAAGCGAATGATTCCAGAGAATTCATCAATAGAGAACTGGCCTTCTGCAGAGTTCACCAGTGAATAATGGATTTTACGGTTCATCCCTGCATTTTGAAAACAATTGTGGAGTATGAAGCAGCTGTTAAAATACACCGATATAATAACAGATCTGATAGCTATAGAAATAAAACATGCATATTCAATATTATCATTCATGTTAAAGTAAATATCAGCAAGAGTTAAAAAGGCTTTTGTAAAGGGCAGAATGATTTCCAAAAAGATGCAATCTGATTTAAAAAATTAAGCTAACACTTCACTGCACCAATTTCCTGTCACACAAAAAACACGAAGCACGGTTCTGCTTCAGTCACAGTACTAGCTAGTATGAAATGATTAGTAATATAAATCTAATTATAACTTTAGAACAACAGCATATGCTCAGCAGGCTTATAAATAACACAGGAGGATATGGGAGAGTTAGACTGCATCAAATAACTAGACTCAATTCCAGTAAGTTTATAAATTAACAGGAACATAATTTCTGGCAAGACTTGTGTATTAAATAAGCAAACAAAAACCCATAGGTTTTTGTGCCAAGCATTTTGCTCCTCCTGAGCTTCAAAGACTAGACTTCAAAGTCTGAAAACATCTGTCTGTTACCTTCCAATTCAGCAACCTAGCTTTACCACAGCACAAAGCAGATTGGTTGTTTCACAAGACTGAGGCAACTATTAATTATTTGATTAGTAAACTAATGATATATGGAAATTATACACCTTTAAAAAGACCTTATACTATTGTGTTCCTTACAACAAAGCCTAAAAACAAACTCTTTCCAATGTAATTTTCAGTTCAAACACTTCTAACTAAACAGTGAAGATACAGGCAGCAAAAATCTTAACAGGGTAGCATATACAGCAAGCTACAGTCAACCAGGGTTCTCTTTATGGCGCGATCATCAATGGCTAGCCTGAGAAACACACATTAAAAAATCTATGAATGTATATTTACATGAACAGACACGGCTTGACACTCCTTTTACTAACATCAGGAGTAAAAGGATGGACCTAACCTGTCATAACATTAATAGCCTATCACACTAAAAATAACCAACATTTTGTCTCTCTGCCCCCTCTTCTTTTTTGCAGAGACACAAAATGGATGTTTTCCAAGCTATTTGCACATGGAAGTCAGGTGTTACATGATTTAGTAGACCTAAACATATCTTTCAGGAGTCTAATCCTGAGAGGTATTGAACATCTGTCGGTTCCACTGAAAGACTTAATACCTCTCAGGATAAGACTAAATAAACATTACTGTAACTTTGAGACCAAGTATCAGTCAAAGAATGCATACCTGCATCTGCATCTGTTGCCTGCACTCTTGTCAAAAGGGTTTTAGGCTCTGTGTTTTCAAATACTGTAATGGAGTAAGGATCGGCTGTAAACTCTGGGGCATTATCATTCACATCTTCCAGAGTCAGAATAATATTAGCTTGGCAGAATCTTCCTCCTCCATCTGTGGCTTTCACTAGAAGATAATAAACTGCTTGCTGCTCACGATCAAGTGGCATTAACGTTTTCAGTTCACCTATAAAAAGAATAACATACATAAGCTGTTGTGAGTTGCAAAACTTAAGTATCCCTAACACTTTTTCCTTTAAAATCTTTGTACTCAGGAAAATGAAACAATTTTCTTTTTGAGGATAATTTAATCAGTGGCAAGTCAACAGCTGTACTGCACTAATGAGCTCCACTTTGGGCAAAGTGCATCAGTGGTCTGCCTTTTCAGTTTTAAAAGATTAAATACTAAAATCCTTTGGCTTTTTTTTTTCAAATGCCTCTGAAACAGAAATTAGCTAAAGTAAGACTACCTTACAGTGCAGAAAGAGAGAATTTGTGTACGTGTTGCATCCACATGTTTTTGTGTAAAGAAAATTAAAATACTAGAACTCTGGCTTTAACAAAATGCAAGGTAAAATCCAAGTATGGTTTTCCTGGGCTATTTAGCTGTGTTCCTCCCACAGCTCTTGAGCTGACTCTCCTCTAACGTTCAATGAATAAACAGAGCAATTCACACTATCAAATATAACTTGCTGCTACAGACAAACCTCAAAGTTGAACACATACTTTCTTTCCAATGTAAAAGAAAACACTATGACAGGCGCAGTATGTAGCCATTGTCTCCTTTTAACCACTTCAGAAAAGTATTCTGAAATATTGTTTATGAGTGTTCTAGCCCTACCAATTCTGAATTTACGTAATGACATGCTAGCTAGCACAGCACACAGGTGACATTCAAAGCCAACAATACCCATGAAGTAAGATCCTTCTCATTTATTTTGTCACAGAAATATTCTGATCTCCTTCTCCATATTTCCACTATATCTTTGCATTTATCTTATTTAAATTTTTCTGTATTGTTTACTACTCCTTTCCTACTGCTCGTCTACTGCAGCCTGCAGAGCACAGCATTTTAGTATTAGCTTTGACCTGTGTTATAATCCAGAAAACATGAATGTCATGAAATCTGAAGTCAGGCAAGTTAAAAGTTAATCTTGTTTATATAATGCTGCCAATAAAACTGAAGGCACTTTTGGTGTTTACTATGGAAATTTGTTGCTCCATCTAACCACATCCTGTTTAATATGCCAAACCAAATGATGGCAAAGAGAATCTGAATGAAGATATTTTCATTTTATAAACCACTATTGCTACTACTACAATGAATATAAAAAGTACAAAATTTATAGCATACTTTTACTCAAGTCACTTCAGCATGGAAGTTTCTGGTTTCGGGGCAATTTACTCTATTTACTCTTTAGTTCCCCGTATATTAAAATACCTGCCTTTCCCCTGACTTCTATTCAATATGTTATTAGTATTTGCATAGTGAAAACTCATATTTAAAATAGTTATTTAATAAACTAACCCTTAATGGAAAGCTTAAATTACTGACATTTATCTATGTCTTAATGTAATAACAAATCATTTTATAAAATGAGGTGATGACTGCAATTTTGTATGCTGTAAAAAGCATTATTACCTGTGTCTGGAGTGAGTCTGAATTTTTCTGCTCCTGTGCCATGCAGTGTGTAAGTAATTTCTGCATTGGAACGAATATCTGCGTCTGTAGCAGACACCTGCATTATCAGTTTGCCAGGAAGAGCATCCTCAGGAACAGAATCAGTGTACATAGCCTGCAAGATTTTAAAGTTACATTGAAAGACTAAACATATGAAGCAAGTAGAGCTTGGGAAGGGGAGAGAAAAAAGGGACGACAGATGAGATAATACCCTATTTGAATGTCTGGTAACATATGAAGTGAACCAGAGGATGAAATACCTAAAAATGAAAAGAACCTACAATTTTCTAATTATGTCACATTTATTAGATCATTCAGAAAGGTAATTAATACTGCAACCATGGGGACTCTTGAGCATCACTGCATAGCTAAGAACTCAAAGTACTTGTAACTGATTAACTGATAATTAAATGGATTCCAAAAGCAGGAGTTATAAATTTTTTGGTCATTTCATTTTTTCCTCTTTTGGTAAATTATCTTTTCTAGTTCCGACTCAATCTAGAAGAAATTAATACCTGCCTTTTTTGTAATGGCATGAAATAAAAGCTTCCAGTTTAAATAAATCCTAAGGAAAAAACACCCAGAATTTAAAGGCACTAAGCACTTACAGCTCACCAATGTCAGGGATGTGCATTAAGTTAGAAGGACTGAGCCTTATAACACCAATATTAATAAAGGGAAAAAAAACCTAAAAACCACCAACTTACTAGTCTGTATAGAACTGCAATCATTTATATAGAAGTAACCAACATAAATATCAACTAAGAAAAAGGTCAAATGCTCACTGTATACTTGGTCATTCCCAGAACAAGAAAAGATTTTGCCTTTCCACCCAGTAACATAAAATGTGTGTTCAACAAGAGGCTATGAAAGTCCAAATGTGCTAAAGTAAAAAAAAAAAAAAAACAAAACAAAACAACAAAGCATTGTGGACTATGAAAACTCAGGGTTTTCTAGTAAGGCAATTATATATCTTGCAGGGTACACCCTGGGGTTTTTTTACATTCTTTATTTTTCATGTCCGTTTTTGCAGGCTATATAATTTGGTAAGGTAGATGGCTTTGTAACAAGAAAATATTTATGGATTACAGATTTTTGGCACTGTTGCATGCCACTGCAGGACAAAATTCCAATCTTTTCAACTCTTTTATCACAGGAAATGCAGAAATACATCAGCTAAGTGATGGTATGCAGCCTTCTTTGAGGGTTTGCTTCCTTCAGAAAACAGAGCATATATACTGGCTGCAGCTTAAAACAATTCCTTTCGCAGAAGTATGCATTAACACAGGAGAAATGTACTACAATTCTCCTCATGCTCTTCAAATATTCATTGACTGTTAAAATAACATCAATTAATTGTTTTTGGATTTTTATTTAAGAAACCTGTCCACGAAATAACTTTTTTTTCCCAGCATTCTATCTTAATAGTCCAAATTTCTGTTACCAGCATAAAAGGAATACCTATTTATCACTCTCCTGAGAAGCAATTTCAGAGAAAGTTTACATTTTACGTATGGAAGCAGCTGGATATGGAAGATACAAGATTGTGCCTACCTTTTCGCAAACAGGGCTATTATCATTAGCATCAAGGACTTTAACCTCCACCACAGCTTTAGTTGCAAAGGTCCCATCAGTAGCTGTAATATTTAGAAGGTAATTATCCTTTTCTTCCCTGTCCAGAGGCTTTTTGACATAGACCTTCCATTCATTCTGTATATTTTCAATAGCAAACTGTCCCAAGGGATCACCTCCTGAAATATTAAAAGAAGCATTTAATTAAAGTGAGAGACTGCTACTATTACTCTATCAATGTTAAGTTATACCTAAAGAGAAAAAAATGTAAATGCAAATAAACAGCCACTCTCTGTGGCTCAGAGAGAAACAGCTTCATTTTCCAGGAAGAAACAGTCAGTAAATGCTCATACAAGTTGAGCTGCAGCCAATAGAATCTATAAAAATCAATGTAGAAATTCATGTAGCATTACAGATAACATAATACCAAGACATATGCTAAATAACAAAATAAAATATTCCACTGGAAATTAATAGTCTATTATTTTGTCAAATTTCTTTTGTTTGTTTTTTAACTGCACTACTAATTTCAGTGTAAATATGTTTTTTAAATAAAATTTGATATATAAGTAAACAACAAACGTAGGAAAAAATTTTAAGCAAGGCAAATGTAAAATGAAATGCTAAAGACCTGTTTCCTAAAACTCATTTTCCTCCCTCCTGAAGTTTTTAATATTCATATTAAGACATACACATTCTTTCTTTGCAGCTCCATGATTTCTAATACTTTTCAATAACTTGGAAAATTAAGTTATATCTCACATAATTCCAGGACCACTTAAATGATTATTCTGACATTACTCAAAAAGATTTACCTGTAATGTAATAAGAGACTTGTCTGTTGGCTTCTTCTGTATCAGCATCAGTTGTACTCACGATGGCAATTACTCCACCAGGAGGGTCATCCTCACTGACCGTTCCTTTATATATCTCTGCAGTAAAGCGTGGAGGATTGTCATTCACATCTGTAACATCAACTTCAACCACAGCCGTAGAAGACAGTTGAACTTTTTCACCCCGATCAGATGCAACCACGGTGATTTTGTATTTGTCTTGTTTCTCATGATCGAGTTCTCTGAGAGTGGTAATCCAGCCAGTTTCCATGTTTACGGCAAAAGACTCTATAATGTCTGGTTCTTGAGAAGCATCCAAGCTATAAGTAACCTGCCCATTGAGTCCTGAATCTAAGTCAGTTGCTTTAACTTGGATGACTCTTGTCCCAGCTGGCATGTTTTCTACAATGAATGCTTCATATGGATTGGACTCCAAAACTGGTTTGTTATCATTTGCATCTTTTACCTGAATGCTTACCTCAACTGAGGAAACAACATTATAATCTTCATTTGCATACTGGGCTTGTACTGAGAACTGGTACCATTTAGTTGTTTCATGATCAAGATTCTTCTCAAGTTTCAACTCTCCAGTCTGTCGGTCAATCACAAAAACATCATCTCTGTTGCTTTCAGGAGTGTTCCCTTTAATCAGACGATATACTAAAGTCTGATTATGCTCTGCTTTGATAATATCTATCTCCGTCCCAACTGGAATGTCCTCAGAAACCATATAAGAATAAAATGGCTCTGAAAATTTTGGAAGAGGCACTTCTGGTGGGAGTATTCTAGCATAGACAGGAACAACTGACTCTTTTTTGGGGGATCCACCATCAACTGCTCTAACAAAGAAGGTCAGAAACTCATTTTCTAAACCAATTAAGCTTTCTTTTGTAGTAATAATACCAGATAATGAATCAATTTCTAAATTCTCTTTAACATTTTCAGACTCTGCTTCAATAGCATATGTAATATCTGCGTTTGTACCCTCATCAGCATCAGATGCCCAGACTTTAATGACAGAAGTACCCCGTGGAACATCAGATCCAATATTTACTTCATACTCTGTTGCTCGGAATTGAGGAGCGTTATCATTATCATCTGTAAGTATTACATTAACAGTACAGAAGGCAACTTTTCCTCCTGAATCTTTGGCCATTAAACTAATAGCAATTACTTTTTCTGCTTGTGTTTCACGGTCAAGCTTTTCAGAGGTAAATATCTGCCCTCTCTCATTTGTATAAAATCTGTCTTTTGCAAAGTCATTAACAATGTGGTAAGTGACGTGGCCATATGTACCAGAATCTTCATCTGTTGCTTTAACTTCAGTCACCAAAGTACGCAATGGAGCATTTTCAGCTAGTTCAACCTCATATTCATTCTGGCTGAAAACAGGACTGTGCATATTGGCACTGGTTACAGTTATACGGACTTGGGCTGAGCTTCTGAAGACCCCATCAGAAACAGACACGTTAAGATTATAGTGTGACTTTAGTGTCTGCCTGCGTAGATTTGAGATAGTGATAATACCAGTTTTACTATTAATTACAAAATTCTTTTGGTCATTGCCTGTCAGAATGGAGTACTCCAGCTTGTCAACATCTGAACTATCTGCATCTGAGGCTTGCACGCATGTCACAAAATGCCCTCGGGGAGCCAGTTCACTAATTTTAGCTTCATAAAGCAATTGGTTAAAAAGAGGAGGGTTATCATTGAGATCAGTTACATCAACAGTTACAATGGTATCACTGCTTAAGGGCAGCATGCCACCATCTATGGCCCTTATTAGTAACTTGTGTTGTTTAATTTGTTCATAGTCCAAAGTTCTTGCTGTAAGAATGAGTCCAGTGCTGCTATCTATGTGGAAGTAGTCATGACTTTCACTATTATCCTCAACCAAGTGATAGGAAATCCCCCTGTTTGTTCCAGAATCAGCATCTGTAGCGCTCACTTGTACAACAGACGTCCCAACGACAGATGCCTCAGAAAGGGTTGCAGTGTAAGACTGCTCTGTAAACACAGGAGGATTATCATTGATGTCTTCCACTATTATGTCCACAAACACATCAGCATGCACTCCAGTTAAGGAGTCTGTTGCTCGAATACTCAGTTTGTAGGCTGGATGAGACTCAAAGTCAAGAGGAGCAACAACATTTATAACTCCAGTGTTGAAGTTGATAGTGAACTGATTGAAAGGATCTCCATCTGTGATGCTGTAAAACACTTTAAGTCCTTCTGGGCTGTTTGCTTGTACATGTACCACAGGACTATGGAGCTGAATGTTTTCTGGTATCTCTGCACTGTAGAAAGGTTTTTCGAAAACTGGCATAGCTTTACTCATAACTGTAATTGGGACTATAACTTCAGCAGAAAAAGCAGGGTCTCCTCCATCTTTTGCCACTACTGTGACCAGATACTCCTTATTTAGTGTGTCTGGTTCAAACTTCTTCTTCAGTGATATTTCACCAGAGGGATCAATTTGGAAATGTTCATGATGTTCTTTGAGATAGTAATGCACCTCTCCATTTCTGCCCCTATCTTTATCTACCGCAGTGACACGTCTAATAACATGGCCTACTTCAGAGTCTACTTTAACAACAGCATAATATGGAAGATTGACAAAAAATGGAGCATTATCATTTACATCTTCCACTGTGACTTTAACTACAATGTGTGCAACAACTGATGGTTTGTATTCCTCTGTCACTTCTATGACCACATCAAAAGATTCTTGCTGTTCACGATCAAATGGTATTCCTGTTGTTGAAAGGACTCCTGAAGTTGGGCTTATTTTAAATCTGCTGTCCGGATTTAGAATATGGTAAAACAAAGGCTCATTTATTTGATTCCCTATAGCAGTAACAACAGCTATTGTTTTTGCCTCAGTGGAATTCTCCTGCACTGTTGCAGAGTAAGAACTCTGTGTGAACTTCAGCTGGCTTGCTTTGCTTTCTTTCACATTAATTTTCACAGACGCAGTGCTTGCAAATCTGCCGTCAGATGCTCTCACTGTTAACTCATATCTGCTTCTTAACTGAGTTGTATTTTGTACTGTTATATCTCCAGTCTTAGGGTTTATTGAAAACTTTTCTCCAATGTTGCCTTCAATAATGGAATAAATTAATTGTGAAAAAATGCCTGAATCAGCATCAGTGGCATTTACACTGATGACTTTCACGCCTTTATAGGTTGGAACCAAAATGGATGTCTCATACAACTCTCTTGAAAACACAGGAGGGCAATCATTGATGTCAATTACATAAATAGTAACATTAGCTGCATATTCTGCATATAAGCGTGGTATCCCCATATCATGTACTTGCACTGAAAAGTGGAAAATATTTGTCTCCTCGTAGTCCAGACTCATTACTGTCCGAATCGCACCAGTGCTAGAATCAATGGCAAAATACTTGTGGACAGATGGTTCAACAATTTGATAAACAAGTAAAGCATTAGATTCTTTATCAGCATCTGTAGCTCGAATTACTAATGGGATATTCTTGTCAGTCAGAACCACACTGTTAATTGACGCTGATTCACTGATGAGTCCTGTATATTCAGCCTGCATAAAAATTGGTGTATTGTCATTCTCATCTTGAAGATGTACCAAAACTGTTGCATTAGTGGACAACCCAGCCATGTTAGTTCCTTGCACAGTTAGAGTGTAAATAGGCAAAGTTTCAAAATCAAGAATCTTCTGAGAAACAATGACACCCGAGTTTGGGTTGATAGCAAAGGCATCACCTATATTACCATCTTTTATTTCAAAAACTACAGAAGACTGACTGTATGCTGTAACCATTCCAACAAAACTGCCAATGCTGGCACTTTCACTGATTTCTGTGGAATATTCTTTGGCTGTGAATTTTGGTGCGGCGTTATCAGAAACCGTAACAAATATACGCACAGAGGTCACTTCACTCATTGGAGGATCTCCTTTATCTGTAGCTTTTACCATCAGGTTGTATTCTTCCTGGTTACTACAATCTAATTCCTTTGCAGTTTTAATCATACCCAAAATGGGATCTATAAAGAAGGAATTTCCAATATTCCCTGTAAAGTAAAATAAAAGTATTTAAGGAAGAGGTACACAGAACTTAAAAGACAATTGCTTATTTAGGTATATACTAAAAGAGATCAAGTAGTGAGATCACAGAGAATATTAGTTTCTTAAGTTTTGTTTAAAAACATTTGTTAACCTCTCTGGAAAGTCTTCCCTAATCAAGAGTTAGCACTAATTCTAAGTTTACTTGTGGAAACATTGCATAAAACATGGTTAGCAAAACCATCCAAGCCTTTAAAATAAATGCAAAAAAAAAAGTTTCATTTTCCATTAAAAAACCTTAAAAAGAAAACAAGTATTTTGCAAGTTTCAATATTATAAATTATGTATTTTCTTCAAATTATCTTTGTCACTCAGTTCAGTTTTAAGTCAACTTAAGTATCTACTGAAACTGAAAGAAAAACATATTCAGAAATTATCATTAGTGGAATACAAGTTACATTTTCTGATCTAAAGTAACTAGACTGCTTTTGAAAAAAAAAAAAAGCATTTTAATGAATTCACACTTGTGAATCTTAATTGCTTATGCAAGTATTGTTTAAATTACTGCTTCAAAATTCATCCTTCTGAATTTGACCAAAAGTTGTATCTCTCCTAACTTCATATTAATACATAGGCAAATTATTCCCTGTGATAGTATCAGGAAAAAAAATACTACCTGTGGAGGATTAGTAGTTACCATTTGATAAATATTTGTTTTCTTTATATTTTAAAATATATAGCCGAATTAAACTGCAAACAAAATTCAGGTCATGTACTAAACATGGTAAGATTTAAAATTTTACTGCCTTAAAAATTGACATCACTAAAGCTATGTTCTCAGCATGGAAAAAATTCATTAAGAACTTCTGAGTTATGCACACAAGTAGGCAAGAGAGGTTTTTTGGATGGATTTTTTTTTTGTTTGTGGGTTTGGTTTTTTTTTTAGTGGGGGTTCTAAACACAGTGGCATTCTTAGAATATCCCATTACAAAGCTGAGCAGCCATTACAAGCATTTAAGGAATGTTCCCTCCGTATGCTTAGAACACCAACTATAATGGTCTAACCTCCCAGCAGGTCGCAGTCCTGTAAAAGAAACCTAAGAAAGTCTTGCATTTACTCCTACAAAAAGATAGAAGAAAGGAAGAGAACAGGGTGGAACTTCATTCTAGAGAGCATGCACGCACATGTTTTTTTTCTTGCCATGTTTTGGCATTTGCAAAACAAGCATTACTGAAATGGGAAAGGCAAGAGAAAAGTCTCATGGACATTAGTGTCCAGTTTAGTAAAAAAATCATATTTCTACAAATAACATAAAACAAACATATTTTAAGCAACTTATGAGACACTTAAGTACATTCTTCCTCCTCAGAGTATCATAATCATAGTTTTGCTTTAATACAGTGTTAAAGTATGTTTTCATGTCAAAATAACACTTCGGGGAAAGAAAAGGAAAATATTTACAGTAAAGAATTCCTATGCTTTACAAAGCAACTTCTGTCAAATAAAACATTTGCGCATATCAACTTGCATGCAACAGTAACTGAAAACTTTTTACCTACTGTTCTCTTTAATACACAGTTTCTTATGCTTGTTACTGGGATTTTTATTTTAAATTGCTTTCTATCTTTAAAGTAGTCCTGCACATAATGAATTTTTTTTTTCTCAGTCATAGGGCCTAAATAATTCAGGACCTTGGTAATAGCAGGCTTGTATCTAGATTTAATGGACTGAACCAAAACTCACATCCATCTGCTAAGTGAACTCAGTCAATGTCGTACTGTTTTCATACTATTCAAAATTGCCATCATTTCAATTACTTTGTTATGGGCAAGTTCAGAAAGATACTAACATTAAAAATAAGCAGCAGCACCCAGTGCTCTTCTCTGGCCTGAAATCTGAAAGGAACCTTAATGCCAAATTGACCAGATATTAAAGAATTTCTTATATATTTTATTGAGCTAGAATAGCAGTCTCACTATTTAAAATCAGGCAGAGGGAACCATGCAAAGCAAATCCTTCCTTGCTACATGTATCAGAAATTTTAACTTAAAACCTGGGACTATTTAATGTCTAAATATATGGATATTTATAAGTTATTTTTGAGCTCCTTTCTTTAACATTGTGCTAAACACAAAAGTTCTTGTCTCGGGCTCTTACTCTTTTCATCAAATCCTTGCTTTGCCTATGCCACAAAGTATCAATTACATTATTAAAAAAATAATGGTTTTTTTAGATCTGAATTTAATACTTTTGTAATTTCTAACAACCCTCTTAGGGGTTTAAAGGTATCTTTTTCTTCTACTACTACTAAAACATTCCAAATGTATCTAAAGGATAATATAAATAGCTAAGGGAGGGAGATGAATATTTGTCATTGTAGCTTTCTTTTAAATGCTCTGAGGTTATATATTAAATACATCTCACAGAATAAGACACATACACCTGTACTGCCCTCTTTTTTATAGCTATTTTTTTCATGTCTATAGTTGGAACAAAGTATCAGCAAGCATCGTTTCAAAATACACTGAAGATGTAAGAAAGTCAATATACCTGATTCAATAGAGTACACAATTTCTGCATTTTTTCCTTTGTCCTTATCTAATGCTGTAACCTGAAGTACCGCTGATCCAACAGCTGCTGACTCATACACCCGTCCTTCATAGGAAGAGCTGGTGAACCACGGAGCATGATCATTTGTATCACTGACATTAATGATGATTCTAGCATAGTTGCGCTTTACAGGAACATCCTGATCTCGAACCTGAAACAGCATATTACTAGTAATTAGCACTGTTACTTCTGCAGTTCATAAAATATCAGTAATAATTGAAGGTTCAATCTGTAACAGTCACAGAGGAAAAGACTACATACAAATTAAACTAAATGTTTGAATTAAGTGGACACATGAAAAACAAATTAAAAAAGATACGTTTGTTGACTACAGAAGAAATTTTGTTTTTATTTACCATTACAGTGAGAATATGTTGGTTCATGGTCTCATGATCCAGTTTTTCTGAAGTATAGAGAGAGCCAGTTCCAGGGTCCAGACGAAATTTTTTAAGACTGATGGGATCAGTGCTGCCCTGCATAGTATAAATAAGTTTATTCTTCTCATCTCTGTCTGTAGCACTGACTTGCAGAATTTCTGTCTCTGGAACGGTGTCTTCAGGTATAACAATTTCATATTTTGAAGCAGAAAACTGAGGCCTGTGATTATTTGTGTCTATAACTTTGATGTACACCTGAAATGATACAATGGGAAGGGGAAAGCATTTATGGTATTTGTGAAAAAGAGATGAAAAGAGGATATTTCATTAAAAAGCAGACCATAATATTGAAATAATTCCACTGTAAGACAATTTTACTTTTTTGGGGGGGAAGGGGAGAGATCTAAGAGATGTAGGGAAGAAGAAACTCACTAAACCCAAATCTATCTCAGCTTCCCCAAAGCTAAACCAGAAATCTATGTGATCAAAAACACCTTAGATAAGATATCTTCAAGGGATGAGTTTTGTCTAAAGCAAGATGAAAAAGAATCCCTTAGCAATTTTGGAATTAAAAGAAAAAATAAATCTCAGTATGGATCCCAGGGTGGGTAAAAATCTTTTTTGTGCAAATTTGGAATTTTAAGCAACGTTTTCCAAGGCAGCAGATGAACTGTACTCCTCCTTGCCCTCACATGAAACAATCCTCTTCCAGCTCCTTATGTTTCTAAGCCTAGGCAAGAATGGAGAAGTAGTGGAATTTCCACAAAAGTGTATTATTTCGAAGAACCACAGGTACTATTTGCTTTTCTTCAGCAATGCAGCACAATCTTATCATAGGTTACTGGTCACCAAAACAATTTCTCTGAAGTTACAGTTATATTAACTTCAATGCTTCAAATTGCATTTTCCACCGTAAGTTCAGTTGGGTTCACCTGTGTGCTATGCAGGCAACGTTCTTTTTGTTTGCATAATAATATTCACTGGAAGCACATAAGATACCTGCAAATCCGCTTGGCCTTGAACTTTGAACTCTTGTATAAAAAGGGTAAGACACTCAGCCACCATCCTGTTCCTTCAACAGTGATAATATCAGACAATTAATAGTAATGCAGAGGAGTTGGCAGGTAGACAGCAAAGCTCCAAGAACACATGGCTAAATTCAAGTTCTTTATGTGCTCCACATACAGCCATGCTTTTAGCCACCCAAAGGTTAGCTGCTTTGTATAAATTAATTAAATGCTATCAACAGGTGTTTAAAATACATACTTATGATATCTTAAGTGGGTCAAATTGCTCTTTGAAGATACTTACTTGCTTTCCACTGATACCTGGTGGAGTCTAGAGATATAATTTAGACAAGGTACCGAACTACATGCAGTAGAAACAAGGTAAGATGAATCCTGATGGTAGTAAATAATAAGGAAATGCCATACATCTTGCTACAAGCAGAGAAACTTTCTCAACTTCAACCTTGCAGAACTAGCATCTTATGTTAAAACTTGTACCAAGGAAAAACAGGTGTTAAGTGTATGTACCAACAGGAGTATTTATGAGTTCCTAAAATATCTGTTTCAGATGCAGGTTTATTATCTCAGGTGGCAACTACTACCTAAACCCTAATACAATGAGTTATTCTCAATGGCAATTTTTTATACAGGCTGAAAACACTTAAATAACTTCCAGAAAAATACAGGCAGTCCTTGGATATACTCTAAAAATGCTACCAAGAGTTTAGGAGACTGTTAGAAGAATTTTATTCTAAGTAACAATAGAAAGACTTTTGCATCTAAGTAATAAAGTCCTTACACCAACCCTGGAGGCATCGTGGGGCACTCTTGGTATAAATTTGTATTATAACACAGGAAAGTCCTCCCAGGCTGGGATATTGCCCACTTTGCTAGCTGAAATAACTGTCACCAGAAAGACTATTTTCACTGAGAATTCCACTCAGATAATAAAAAAGAACAGACAAGCACACAAAAGGGAATACAGGAACAGAGCTGAAGATGGCAAATGTGGGATCTCAAGAGTCTGAAGCCAGATATAGAATAAAAGGCTATGCAAGAAACACAGTTTAAGTTTATTTGAGACTGCAAAACAACCTGTGGGTAGGCAAGACAACCAGGAGCTGCAATAAGCAGCTAAACAGAAACAAATCACCAAGACAAGATGGAGTCACCCCCAGGCCCTGCTGAAAACTCAGGTAAAAAAAAAGTAACACTGGTAATGTCACACACGCTATTAATAATACTGAGCTCCACCTCCAGACAGTGAGGGTGGGGAGAGGGGCACACGTGTATGTGTGCACACACTAGTGTCCACAGCCACACACACAGGTCAGTGGGCCATAATCTAATATATATAGTACATTTAGGGAAATATTCATCGATAGTTATTCAATGTTTGACACAGTCTGTTACAAAAAAAAGAAACTATCACTGTCTTTTATAGAAAAATGCTGCCTCCCACGATTTGTTAGGTTTCTCAGAAAACAGAAAAAATAGAAAATAAACTACTCATTTGGCATATTGATAGAATCCCTTGCAAGATGTTGCTATGGAAACTAAGGAGTTTGTTTTTATCATGGATTAGAAACTGAATAAAGATAGGAAACAAATATCTGGAATAAATACTGATTTTCAGTGGGGAGAAAAATTAATGGTAGGCAATCTAAGATACATATTAGAACAAGTTTTTAAATATATTCACTAGTAAATTCAACTGGAAAATTAACAGCAAGAATGAAAACAATATGATTGTAAATATGTGAATTTTTTAGACTGTCATGATTAGAAAGGATGTAACAAAGCAACACAAGCATAGGAAAATTCTATATAAACAAAATACATTTTAATGCATTTTGGAAGAAGAAATACTGAAGGGTCCAGTACACTCACTTACATAATATCTTAATAAAAACACCCACTCACTGAACACTGGTCCTCAGGAAAATCTCAGACTCAAGTGCAGGGTGTTTTATCTACATAAATTCTCACTCACTGATGTTGTTACTTTATGCCTCTCTGCAGATTCTGAAGGATAAGCATAAAGTGAGTGGATGGGCACCCTTTAGGTAACTTGGCCAACTACACGCTGGGCTGCTTTAATAAGGAGAACAGCAGGTGGGGGAAAAGGAATTATTCCTCTCTATTTGGCACTCACTGGTGGGACTGTAGATCCACTACAGTTTTGGGCCCTGTAGTACCAGAGAATCTTGACAACTGAAATGAACACAATGAAGGTCCATTAAAAAAAAACAATGGGGATTTAAAAGCTCTCTATCCACTGTGTAAAGGGAGGGCTGCAGGAAAGAGAGAGACTCCTCAGAGGTGCACAGTGAAAAAACTAGAGGTGACACTCACAAGTTCCAGTAAGGGAAACTACAACTAGACGTAAGAAAACATTATTTTCAAGAAGGGTTGTTAAACGCCAATGAAAAAGAGGTGGCACCCCTATCATCCCAGGCACTTAGAACCTGACAAGTCCCAGAACAACTTGATTCAACTTGATCCAACAGTTTGCTCTGCTTTGAGCCCGAGTTTTAACTAGATGACCTCCAAGGGCTCCTTCCAATCTAAACTATTAAATAAATGTACTAATATGCAAGAGAACAAATTTTTCTCTGTTTAGGCCTTGAAATTAAATGAGAAGCACCTGAATTAATAACTGAGTGCAATTCCAAAGACCCACACAGAAAAATGTAGGTTTGTGCACCTGGTAACAAAATACATTAAGAGCTTGTGTTACTCTAAAGCAACATGTATAATACAATAAAAACAGCTACATAAATTCTCAATGAAATTATAAGATTAAATTCAAGTGAAATACACTAATATCATCTCATCAGAAAGAGATGCTATTAGTGTGTATTAGAGGCACGCTATAGAAAAGTTTGACGTTAACAGACCATAACGGATGTTCTCTATCTGGATTTCAGTAAGGCTTTTGATACTATCTCCCACAACATCC